TGGCATCTGACTGAAGAACTCGACGTGTCCTAAGATGGACTCGACGAGTTGGACCTACTCGACAAGTCCATGCCCTGACTCGACGAGTTGGTTCGTCAGATGGCCGATTTGTCGGATTTCAAGCCAAATTTAGATAAGGATCATTGCCTTAAATTGTTTTAACTGTGAAAATTCGAATTTTCTGTTATAGTAATGATTATCCTCATCTAATTGGAAGATAATGATCAAATTTTAAGATAATTTCCAAATTATGTGATTAGTTTAATTATTTAAAGTTTGATCTAGAAGTTTTATATAGTTTCAAAACTTACCATCAAGTTTTGGAATTTAAAATTTGATTAAAAGTTTTAATTTTGAAATATTAAATTCTAAAACCCTAGTGTTTTAAAAGTTTAAAATACAACCCTTATACTATTATAATATTAAAAGATTAATATGTATATATATGTATAAGATGAGTCAGTCTTACCGTTAGTAGGCCTCATTCACGAAGCCGATATATATAGGGGAGGGGGTATAAGGAAACTGCCTATAAAATGGCGGTTGAATGGGTGTCCACTCTCACCCACCGCTTCCTTGATTGGTGGAGGGTCGTTAGCCGAATGGGTAGGATAGGATATTTAATTCCTCATTAATAAGTATAATTAATATTATAAAGTAACTAAATGTTTTATAAATTCCCAATCTTAGTTACTTTATGAAAAATGTGAAAATGATGCTATTCCATGAAATTGCACTTTGCACCTTGTCAAGTCTTTAGTGGAGCGTATGTGGATAACCGGCACACTAACTTGGACTAACAAGGGTTGTAAAGGGTAGCTCGATAATTGTCATAGATCAATGGAGCGTGTGTGGTTAACCGGCACATTGATTAGGTGGTAAATGTCCTCGAGAGTACCAAGCTGATTTGCATGGTTATTCACACCTTGTTTGTGATCCTCGGTATCCCAGTCACAAACTTGAAGGGCATAATCGAGATTAAACATGCCATTGAAAAGTTCAATGAATCTCAAAAGAATCTAGGAATTTCATTTAATTTAAAACCTAATTCTTCATTTCGTTTTTCATGGTGGAATTGGTAAATCGTCATTTACCTACCTTCAAATAATTTGCAATTGGATTACGGCATCCCTCTTTCGAATTGTGAATTGTTGTGTTGGGTCCTAGCCTTAATATTTCATTTGGATGTTATATTAAGGATTCTTTATCTAATCAAAACTTTGTTCTTTTTCTTTTCAGATGTCTGGCTCAAACAACGCTTCTGGCTCGAACTCCAACTCCTCAAGCTCATTCTCTCTTATGAACATTTGTGGAAGGGTCACCTTCGATGGATCCAATTTCAATGATTGGATTCGCAACATACGAATGGCCCTTCGATACGAAGAAAAAGAATACGTCTTTGACGAAAAGCTCAAAGAGATAGATGAAACCAAAGCTACTGAAGAACAAATAGTTGAATATAGGGCTCACGAAAAAGACGCGACAAAGGTGTCGTGTAATGGTAGCCACTATGACTCCTGAGCTCCAGCGGTTCTACGAGGACTACTGGCCTTACGAGATGTGCCAAGATTTAATAGAAAAGTACCATCAAAGTGCGCATCAAGAAAGGTATGATATTGTCACCTCGTTGATAACAACCAAGATGAAAGATGGAGAGTCCATCACGAGCCACGTGCAAAGGATGCAAAGGTATGTGGATCGTTTGCTCAAGTTGAACATCAACTTTGACGAAGAGTTTGCGATTGATATCATTCTTCACTTTTTACCTCCTTGTTATGATCAGTTCAAGATGACTTATCATATGAACAAGGAGGAAGTCACCTTGAGTAAGCTTCAAGGTTTGTTGAGAACTCCCGAAAGTGGACTTAAAAGCAAAGCTGCCGAGTCCACCCCTACTGCTTCTGCCCCCGTCCTCACTATAGGACATGGAAAAGGGAAGAAGAGGAAAGCTCCCTCTAAGAGCCATAAGGGAAAGTCCCATGATGGATCTACTTCACATGGATCCAAAGGTAAAACAAGTTCTGCTACTCCCTCATCCGATCCTAAAGAAGCAACGTGCTTCTACTATTACGAGAAGGGGCATTGGAAATGAAATTGCCTAAAATATTTGCAGGACATCAAGGATGGGAAGATAAAACCCTCCTTCGCAGGTATTTATACTATTCAATCTAATAACTCATCACATGCTATTTCTTGGGTCTTTGATATAGGATGTGGTTTTCACATTTGTTTTGATTTGCAGGGGCTAAGAAGAAGTAGGGATGTGGAGCATGGGAAGATGAACCTGATAATGGGAAATAGGAAATCATCGCCTGTCACCAAGATCGAGATTTATTCTTTAGTGCTTAGTAGTGGGTTAGGATTAGAGTTGAATGATTGTTGCTACTCGTCAGAAATGACGAGGAATATTATTTCTTTTCATGGTTTGTACAGACAAGGTTTTAGATTTTCATTTAATAATGAAGTTGGTTCTATTAATGCTTTCTATAATGATACTTTATATTTTGAAGCATTGCCTTGTAATGGTGTATATGAAACTGTGATGGTTGTAGATAACTTAGGAAATAATATGTTGCATATCGATTCATCTAATGGTTTAGATAAGGCATGCTTGTGGCATTGTCGTCTTGGACATGTCAACAAGAAGCGCATAGCCTAACTCCAAAAGGATGGAGTCTTGGAGTCATTTGACCTTAAGTCAGATGACACGTGCGAATCTTGTTTACTTGGAAAGATGACTAAATCACCTTTCACTGGTACTTGTGAAAGAGATGAGGGATTGTTAGATCTCATACACACGGATGTGCGTGGGCCCTTCAGAACCACCACAATGGATGCTAACCACTTATGTGTGACTTTTACTGACGATTATAGCAGACATGGATATATCTACTTGATCAAGCACAAGTCGGAAACCTTTGAAAAGTTCAAAGAGTTTAAGTAAGAAGTGGAGAATCAATTGGGCAGGAAGATAAAGATGCGCAGATCCGATAGGGGTGGTAAGTATCTTAGTATCGAGTTTCACGACTATCTAAAGGAATGTGGAATTTTTTCACAATTGACGCCACCTAGAACACCACAACTTAATGGTGTGACTGAGAGGCACAATCGAACCTTGTTGGACATGGTTCGTTCCATGATGATTCGAGCTTCGTTATCTATCTCATTCTGTGGGGTATGCCTTAGAGATTGTTGCCCATATCCTCAATCTAGTCCCAACTAAGAAGGTTGTCAAAGCACCTCACGAGATGTGGACAGGGAAGGTTCCCTCGTTGGCACATATCAAGGTTTGGGGTTGCGAGGCTTTCGTAAGACGAGAGACTCACGAAAAGCTTGAACCTCGTAGTGAGCGATGTATTTTCATCGGCTACCCATAGAAATCTTTTGGATATTTTTCTACAGACCCAGTGACAACATGGTCTTCGTAACAAAGAGAGGGGTTTTCCGCGAGAGAGAACTCATATGCCAAGAGGACAGTGAGAGGCAAATTGATCTTGAAGAGCTTCAAGAGTCAAGCGATGAAGGAACCTCTAACACTAACGCTCAACCTGAGGAAGAGATTCTTGTTGAACCAGTTGACGAGTATTTACCTCTGAGACGTTCCAGTAGAGTTAGTGTTCCACCTGTGTTATATGGTAAGGTAAAGATAGATATAATATTGTCATATGTGTCTTACTTTGGTAATTCTTTTATTTACCTAGTGGGTCTAACTAGGGATGATCATATTAACCGAAAAACCGAATCATAACCAAATTAACCAATATAACCAAACCATATTAACCGAACCATTACTAAAAAATATGGTGTGGTTTCTAGTTTTGATTAACCGAATATATATGGTTCGGTTATGGTTTTCATCTAAAACCGAACTACTATAAACCGAACCGAACCAATAATATTAATAAATGTTTTTAATATAATATAATATTAAATATATGGTATATAATTATATTAGGATTTGAAAATTTAAAGGATAATTATTTGGAATTAGATATGATATGTAATCTTCTATTAATACAATTATATATACACAATCATTCACTTTTTATACAATGGATTTTATGTTTTTCAATTTTTATAGAAAAATATTTTTATTTTAATGTTATCTTGGACCATTATGGTTAACTAATATTAACCATTAGCCATAACTATTAACCGACTAAAACCGTTAACCAAAACTAATATTAACCGTTACTTAATGATTATCGAAATACATTAACCAATTGTAATGGTTATGTTCGGTTTTGACCAATAACTGAACAAAACCGTCTCATACACACCCCTAGGTCTAACATTATGTATTTACGTTTAAGAAAGAGAATAATCGCTTTTTGATTTAAAGGGGGGAATGTAGACGGGATGGTCCGTATGCAAATAAAATAAAAATAAAAATAAATAAATAAACAAAAAAACTAAACTTATTCAAGAAAAGTGCATAACCACATGGAATAAATGGGACCGAATTTGTAATCTTCTCTACATTATATCGTATTATTGTTGCATTTGTGTTTGTTTGTCATGAGGGGTAGAACTGGAAATAGGAACTGGTTTAATTTGTAAAACAAACAAAACCCACCGGTCAATCCCTGAAGAAATACAACTTCATGCAATCGAGCTCTGACAAAATTTACCAGGTTTGCCATTCATCGCCGATAATTATCCGATTTCCGGCGATCCGAATGGTCTGTTGCCGAGGTAAAACACTGCAAGAATCCGTGTCTTCTTAGAGCTGTAATCGTTCTTTGTAGGGTCATCTGTAAACCCTATATACCTCTGAAAATTCTCCGGTAAGACTGAATCTCATATATTCATCCTTTTCCCCAATAAATTGGGTATAATTAAGCTTCCTTCACAGCATTTGGTCCGAATATTCCGTTCTCCTCTTTCAAAAACTTGATTTTCCGACATGAATCGAAACCCTAGTCCCGAGGAATACTTGTGTTAGGGTTTCGATCATCCGCTCTGTTGCTCATTCTTAAAGGTGTAAAGATAATACTAGAATGAGGCAATTTGTGAATAATCTAGGTAGCATACGTCTCCGGTTTCGTGAAATTCTCAATGCTACATTTACCCTGGTTTTTATCGCCCTCTTTTACACCCAGTTCAATATATCGAAGAAAGTTCCATTTCGCGATGCTCAATGGAGTTCAAGAGGTAGGTCTACGATTGAACTAAATGCAAACTCATCAACTCTAACAAATACTAGCCCTGGAATCTGTACTGGATTGGTGGATCATCAGGGTTATCCAAGCAGCTGTGAGTTCTTAAAAGCGAATCCAGATTGTTCATCTGATGGACTTTTTGACTACTTAAACTTCTACTATTGCGACTGCAATGAAGGTGCATTCGGTGCTATACTTTTGGTTCTATGGCTCATAGCATTGTTCTACCTTTTGGGTAACACAGCAGCAGATTACTTCTGTTTCTCCTTACAAAAGCTTTCAAGTCTCTTGAATTTATCTCCAACTGTTGCTGGGGTTACTCTTCTTCCTCTTGGTAATGGAGCCCCTGATGTATTTGCAAGTATTGCAGCTTTTGTGGGACGTGACAATGGTGAAGTAGGTCTCAACAGTGTCTTAGGAGGTGCAGTATTTGTCACTTCCATTGTTGTTGGAATCGTCTCTCTTTGTGTAGCAGATCAACAAGTCCAAATTGACAAAAAAGCATTTCTCAGAGATATTGGTTTCTTCCTCTTCACACTACTCTTCCTTTTCTTGATTCTAATCATTGGTAAAGTTACAGTCTTTGCTGCAATTGCATTCGTCTCCATATACATAATATACGCTGTTTTCATCGCCACAAATGAAATCCTTAAAAAACATGTTCAGAGGCTAAAATTGGATTCTGTCACACCATTGCTTCCACTTAGTATCTTTTCAAGATCGAATCAAGATGATGACATACAAACTTCTTTACTTGATGCTGAAACGGATTTCAATGGTCCACAGTTACCCAATTCTTTACCTGAATGGATGTGGGCTTCCAATGTTGCAATATATTCAAATCAAGAAAGACATTTATGGGGATGGCATGATGATGCCATCGAGGTTGACCAACCATGGTTCTCTTTAACTAACATATGGTCACTTCTCAACTTCCCGTTGACTTTTCCAAGAAGGTTGACCATTCCATTACTCGAAGAGGAAACATGGTCAAAACCATATGCGGTTGCAAGTGCTTCATTGTCCCCTATTCTTCTTTCTTTCATATACAACACCCAAGACAGTTTAACTTCTCGAAGCAAGAATGTTGTTTACATTCTTGGAGTAATTGTCGGTTCTACCCTTGGTATCTTATCATATCTCTACACAAGGCCAGATCATCCGCCACGTAGGTACCAATTCCCATGGGTTTTGGGTGGGTTTCTTATGAGTATAGTTTGGTTCTACATGATTGCAAACGAATTAGTCGCGTTATTAGTTGGATTTGGTGTGTTTTTACAAGTGAACCCTTCGATTCTTGGACTTACAGTATTGGCTTGGGGGAATTCAATGGGGGATTTGGTGTCAAATGTTGCATTGGCTTTAGATGGTGGGGATGGAATTCAGATTGCTTTATCGGGTTGCTATGCGGGTCCCATGTTCAATACACTTGCGGGTTTGGGAGTTTCATTGTTGATTGGGGCGTGGTCTGAAAAACCTGTGTCATATAGTGTTCCACAAGATAACAGTCTTTATTACACGATGGGGTTTCTGATTTTAGGGCTTGTTTGGGCTGTTTTTGTACTTTTGAGAAATGATATGAGGCCTAATAGAATGTTGGGAACAGGTCTTGTTGGGATTTATTTGGTTTTTTTGTTTGTAAGGTTGACTGGTGCAATGGGGATTGTATCATTGGCTGGTTTAAGTAAATTGTAGACATTAACAATCACATGGGTTTGAATGATTTCTGTTGCACAGTTTGTAATGTAGATTGTAGTATAGAATTGTTGGGTATTTGGTTGTATTAGTTGTTGATTTTTTGCCATGTTTGTCTTGTTTTTGGCACTTGAGTTGACTATGGAAACTTGTATCTAAATATGTATATTACCATTTGGATGCAATTAGTGTTTTTGCTATTTTGAAAATCATGTATTGGAATGCAAGTTTAAGATGACAAATACACAAAATAGTTTTGGAGTATGGTTGCGAATGAGCTAAGATAGGCTTCAACTCACTTAGGAAGTTTGAAAAGCATATAAATATTAGTTAGAACTATGGTGGTAAAGCAACCATGGAAATCTTTTTATTAGAACTATGTGAAATAATGCAACACATTTCATGGGTTTCGAAATATAAACTCGAATTTGATTCGCTATCTGTTTGGAGCTCATTTATATACCCAAAATCGAGAGAAATAGTGGCATTAATCTGTAATTACAATCAGAAACTAAATAATATATTATTAAATTATTTGGTGTAATCAACAAGCGACGCTTTGGCCGAGTGGTTAAGGCGTGTGCCTGCTAAGTACATGGGGTTTCCCCGCGAGAGTTCGAATCTCTCAGGCGTCGCAATATTTTTTCCTTTTTCTTGTTTCGCTATTTTCAGAAACTTTTTATGGAAACAAAATTCTGTCAAAATTTATATATAATTAATACGATTAAGTATATTCATAGAAGTTAAATGTAATTTGGTTGTTACAAAAATGATTTGAGGTTGTATGTGTCAAAAAAAATAATAGTAACAATTTCATCCAATCTCATGACTTGTTTAATTATTAAATATGTTTTTTTACGACATCATAATATACACAACAAAAATCAACTTGTTTATAAATATTGTTGTAAAAAATCCTGACTAATTTCCGATTCTTTAAGCGGTACGCAACCGACTATCATTAATGAAGTTGTCGAAACCGATGAATTATTAACATCTCGATCTTGAAGAAGTTTCATTAAAAAACACTACTTGAATAAGGATTAGTGTTTTAATAGTCATATTAACTTGTTTTGTTATGATATTAGTCAATGTTCTAAATAGCATGGCGTGGCGTCGCCGCAATGTCAAGTCTCAAGTTTTATGAGCTGTGGGGAGTCACGACATTTGTTAAGGTGTGACGTAAGGCGGAATTTTTGTATATAATTATAATTTCATATATATTTTTTATAATATTATTCATTTTCTTTATATATATATATATATATATATATATATATATATATATATATATATATATATATGGCTCAAGGCAGCATTCTCAAAGCGTGACGTCAATTACAAGCCTTAGAGTCATGTCACGTCATGTCGAGCTTTTTAAAACAATGATATTAGTCGTATTTATCTATTTTGTTATTATATTAGTCATATTTATTAGAAATTTACAAAATTGGATTAATTTCTTAATGACTTAACCAATGTTTTGAAAATTGGTTTGAACGGGTCGGTCGAACCGGGAACCATGGAAGAGATCGGTTCAACTAAACCGGTTTTATGTCTGGATCAGAACGAATCGGCCGGTTTTTAACAAAAGTCAAGTTGAACCGGTTAAATGGAATAAAAATACATAGAAATGAAACATTTTGCATAGAAAAAACTTTAGTGATCTTTTCAGATCTATTTTAAACATCTTTTAAATTGAATAAAAACACATGGTAAGTGTTATGAAGCATTTTAATACGTTTGTACTCATCTAAAATTATACTTCATTTCAGTATTATACTTTCTTTTCTTTTTGATATATGTGGATTGATGTAAAAGTTATAGTTATATATTTTTGTAATGTATTTGGAGTGATTTTAGAAACGCGAACCTGTTAAACCGGGAACCAGTCACCATACCGGTTGAATCGGAAACCGATTACAATACCGGTTCAACTAAAAAACCGGTTTTTAAAACATTGGACTTAACCAACAATTAAGGTTTATCCAAAAGTAGCCAATAAAATATAGATTAGGCAAACACATTTGTGGTTTCGCCAACTCGTATGTGGAATCGTCAACACCTGTAATTTCGGTTATCTATAAAATAAAATACCACTTTGCCCATTTCCGAAGACACGAAATCGTAGATAACGTATAGCTATATGCGGTTCCCTTTCAAATCATCTATGAATGTACAAGTTGTTGATGCACATTCCATTCATTGAAGACTTGTATCATCACAGATGACCATGTCGTTTGTGATTTTGTTGATTTTCAGACAAAGTTCATACTCATTATTTCTAAATTTCAACGTATATAATAAAAAGAAACTATATATAAGATTACTTAAAACTTTGTTTTGGGAAACATATTCTTCAACCATGAAAGAAATGATTCCGGTATCGGTGAGTGTGAAATGAGCTAGAATTTTGTTTTGGGGTTTAAATATATCGGGCTATCAGGCCGCGAAACCGTAGGTGGGCCGCGCAACCGCATCCCATTTGACAAAATCATAGATGAGTTATCGAGTCAAACAACAAAATGACAGATGGGTTGATGAAACTACATATGAGTTGACGAAACTGTAGACGGGTTAACCCATCGGTGGTTTCGTTGGTTATTTGGGATAAATGCTAATATGTTTTACTATCTTTAGCTAAGGCCTTTCGATATATTCTCGACACACCTATATACTTACAATGGGAAGAAGAGAAAGAAGAGAAACAATTAGATGGTTACAAGAGAGAAGAAGTCTCGTTCTCAAATGTGGTGGTGACCACAATCCATCACGACAACGACCACCACAAGGCATTGGGATGGTGTGCACACTTGTGGTGACTTGCCACCTTGGCCACGGACAAGTTTCGTGGCGTCCGTCCATTCCAAAAGATCTGTCATTAAGAATTTTGGTCATTTTAATAAATTCCTCCATATTTACTTATTATTAATTTAAAATTTGATTAATTTACAATTTAAGGTCCCAACTAATCTTCAGTCCCTAGTGACCAACTTAATACCATTCAACAACTTTTATAACCTTATTTATAAGTAATTTGATCCACATTATCAACTATACAAAATATTTTTGAACAAATATCAATTTTAATGCAAGAGTTAAGGACTTGATGATTGTGAGATTACAGCCTTAAACAACTTCTCTGGGATATTCCCAAGTTCTTTCATCATTTTGTAAACAAATGTGCAAACCAGAAAATTTCAACACTGCAATAAAATATCATATTTTTTGGAACAAATGGTGTGATAATTCAAACAAAGGTAGCCTTTTATGAGTCTATAAGATCACAATAAAAGAGAGTAATGGTCGATAAAAAGCAATTCCATAATAAAAAGAAACAAACAACATTTCCTTAAGAGATAACTACTACTGAAAACACAGTTTCACGAATCTGCACACATGTTTGTTGTACTAATCCAAAATCCTGGGATCAAATGATGTTACAAAAAAGGGCAACAAAGCATAGTGTTTTAATGTGTCCCTTCCAGTAACTTTCCAAATTTACCTCTAATGACCATATTTCTGGAACTCCCACTCACTGTTGTCTGCAAAACCACAAGAAAATGACTGTTTTAACCCCAGTAAATAATAGAGGTGGGTCAAATTTAATTGTATTAATAACGTTTTATACCAAGAGGGCACACTTGACGAGTCTTGAGCCAGCGGCTAATGCAGTGAAAGTGAAAAGCATGGTTACAGACACCTGTCAGTCAATCCAAGTCCAAGGTTTACAAATCATTAGATATACATATATAAATTGTTGACAAGACTATGCATAGTTCTTGATTATATTGTTTATCTCTTCTCTTGATTTCAACAACAGATGTAACCTAACTATTGCTTCTTCTGGTTTCTATGATGGATTTTGATGACATTACCAACTATGTTAAGTCAAAGATAGTTAACATATCAACACATCAAGGGGAAATCAATCAAAAGTACATTCATCAAAGAAACTATATGAAACCAATATCAAGAAAAAGGAGCATTATAAATGGCACAACAAAAGGGGGTTATATATGTTTGGTGCAAAAATTAAGACCTAATGATGAATTTACACACCAACTTTAGCTCTTCTGTACACACCAGAACTTGTATTTTAGAAATCAAATATAGCATTAATGTTACAGAAGAACAATAGAACACTAGTCCACATACAGAGCAATATACTATAATTTCAGAGTTAGGGTTTAGGTGACAAAGCATACCCCAAGCAACAGTACACTCCTCGCTGGTGGCGCTTGCCTGATTAGCTTGGCATTCGATACCTAAATTAATCAAAACCATATCAGATTACAAGAACAAACCAAATTGTTTAATTCTTAAATAGCGATGAATAAGAAAAAACGCTCACACAGATCCATGATGTGATTTCTGCAGATCGCGCAATTATCAACCACAATATCTGCACGAATTGGGATATCAGGAACATGAGCTAACAAAACACCACGAAAAAAATCGATGTTAGGGTTTCGTATACTCACCCCAAGCCCAGAGAGAGACGGCATTCCACTTCTTGATTTCGAAACGCTTTGGTTTCTTTGAAGAGGAAGAAGGTCCTGGAAGACTAGATCCTTCACCGGCGGGTACCATCATCACGTCGGAGTCCATGGAGTTCAACCACAAGTCGCACCCAAACACTTGCCTAGAGGTCGATTGAGAATGGGAGTTTTGATTTCCCTTCGAACCTATATATTCATAAGGAAGCGCCTGCCACGTCAGCACAAAATTCTTTTCTTCACCCTCCGCTTTTGTATTTGACTGTATTTGCATCTCTCCTCCTTATGACATGCAAAAATTCGATGTGTTTGTAATTTTATTTGGTTTTAAAAATTAAAATATGAATATTTCTTTAAGAGAAATTATATATCTTTCTATCTATTCTTCTATTCATCATGGTGTAATAAAAATATATTAATTTTATTAAATATGTAAAGTATTATAATCTTAAGTATATAGGAAGATTATAGGAATAAAAAGTGAAGAATATATGATTTCTCTTTCTTTAAAAATGGCCTTTAGTAGAACATATTTTATTGGAGTTTTTTTTTATAGTTAGACTATAAGTATACCGACAATCCTCATACAACCACAACCATAATCATATTAACACCATCTTCATCTTTACTCCACCACCGAATGGGAGGGTCATTATTTTATCCCCTCACGCTGTAAAAAGGCTTTTAAGAAGGAAGAAATACGAAAGAAAAAAACGAACAAAATGGTGTGACACCCCATGATTGAGGCCACACCCTTCCACACCGGTGGGAGCAGTGTTTACGACATTGTGGCATGTCTACCTAAACACTAAGTCGGGCATGTTGGTAGTATACATGAGAGCATTAATATCATTTGTTTGACCACTTGTCACCATTCAATGTCATTAGAGAGCATATGTTTTTTTTCCATTGATCACTTAATATAGATCGAGTTATCAATATATACTTTTATGTTTTGTACATCAAAAATTGATCGTTTAATCATATTACATTTTATCTCCTTAATTATATTGTAGTTTCAAACCTTTGGTATTTTTTACTAATTAAATAATTTTATTAAATATTTGATGACACTTTATTTATGAAATATAAGATTTATAATGATTATACAGTGTTTTCATTGTCTTTTATTACGATGACATAATAATTTTAACGTATTTTATGTATATAAAATAAAAACCCCTATAGTTGTATTTAAATATGAATGTCTATTGATATTTTTTTATTAATATTTGAATGTGCTTAAAAAATACTAATTAAATGAAGAGGGTCTTATAAAATAATTTAGATAGATGAAGATAAATTAGTTAAATTATTGAAAAGAAAAAAACTATTCAAACATGTTAATCATTAAGATGTCATTTAATTAGACATTAAAGTTGATGTAAATATGAAGTGACAATAATTTTGAGTCAAAATATAGGTCAACCATTCGAGATGTTTACTTCATATTTTGGTCCCTTCTTTTTACATCTTGTAAAGTGAAGTTTGAACCATTAACTCCTACTAAAATTACCATTTTGCCTGTAATCTCTATTTTTTATTTCTTTTTTATATTATACATATGTGAAGGTGGTAGTTGATTCCAAACCCTAAACTACTACTAATATGAAAGTAACTTGTAAAAAAAGACATCATTGATATGGTGGTTGTCACATGTAATGAAAGGGGTTGTAAAAGGGTGAGGTTGGGATAACGAGTTTTGTTGTAACAAGGGATGATGGTTGAGTTGGGACGGGTACACCTATAAAGACTTACAACACTCAACTTTGATTTTCTAAATTATTTTTGTTTCCTTCCACATCAATTCACATTTTGAAATACTTACAGTCGTAGGTAGAAGGGTGAGGGATAGGTAGGTGTTTCATATACTTTTCCTAATTGATTCCCACTTAGAAACTAAAAACTAAAAATTTGGCATGGGGAATTGGTTTGGTGAGATGGAGACCTTGAAAGTAAGAAGTGTGATACGAATAAATGGCGATTATGTCATATTCGTTCTTGTCTAAGTGGCCACAAGACCTGCCACTTGAATCCATGAAGCCAGATGATCGATTAACTTAGTCGTATGCTTTTTACATTTGTGGTAGTGGATCTTAAACGATTGTGGGAAGCTTCCTCAACACATTTATTAAATTAGTTCATAGTTGATCTTAACATGGAAAAAATGGTTTGGGTCTTCTCTTTCTATCGCTATGTATGTTATTACTAATAATTTGGTTGATTTTGAGCTCCTAGTCTATGCAACTGTGGGTATACAAAATTAATCCTATTCCTTGATTTTTGGAAGCTTATATATGATGTTAGGTAATTAGTCGAAGTTTGAATTAGATATATATTGTTCTTTCAAACTCCAATCAATCTTATTAAATGTTGCTACCTTGAAATTTTAGTATGTATTATTGAATTGTAACTAAATAGAGGTCCTTTTCGATATGGAACATGTGGTAACACAACTTGTTGGATCGTAGAATCATGGATTCAACCCGTCATAAAGCTTGTTTTTTGAACCTTTGTAGTTTATATATATATATATATATATATATATATATATATATATATATATATATATATATATATATATGGCTTAAAACACCCATCATAAAGCTTGTTTGGAAACACTGTTTACTAAGTTTAAAATAAAACTTTTACTTCAAACTAGTATCAAATAGTCTCAAAGTTTACCAAATATTTGAAAAATAACTGACAAAATGTTTAGAAACAAGTATTAGAGTAACCTGTTAATACCAAAGACAAATACTATGTCTAGGTATTTTCAACTCTCTAATAATGTTCCAAATTTCTCTTCTCAACACACCTTCATAAATCTTCTCGCGTTATGTCACATGTCCAAAGTAGTACATTATGACGAGGGTACTGCTGAGTTACACATGGGTCGAACATTATATATAGGAAACAATTATAACCTATTTAAAACCACCTTTTCTTTAGTTCTAACAAACACATAGTTTTCCTCAAATGTTTTACAATATATAAGATATGTTAGAAAATTGGGGTGTTATAATGTTGGATCAATGAGATTTGTGAAAAACAATTTCAGATTAAAGTATTTCAAGGATACACTTGAAAATCTCTAATTGGATAAAACTCAAAGTTCAAGAACAAAGAATGAAGAATATGATATGATCTTGTGTGTACTAGAATAATGATAAAAAAACAGGCATATAACCAATGTCTGGAAACTTACAAGAAAAACTATCATAAAGTTGTCATAAAACAGTTTCACAACCACCATAACCTGTCATAAAATTGCCACTAAAAACGAGTTCAAATACAAGATCACAAAATCGGGGTTTAAAACACAAATTTGGAAATATTGTTTACCAAGCTTGACCCCAACCATGGGCTCTAACCCTTGGACCCCGCTCCCAGTGCCGCTCCCAGGGGCATTACTCCTGGACCCCCATTGGTTTAGGGGCTTCGCCCCTAAATAACAATGTACTTTCGACCAATACAAACTTAAACAAATATGCACTTCGGACACACCCTAACTTGTTTAATATTTATCAAGGCAACATAGATCAACAAATCAATCTCTTTACACTTATATAATGTTAGTGATAGAAATCACCAACAAGATATTGCATTATTTTATGGACATACACTTGAGTAACTGAATACAACACTTTTGGAGGAAACTTTTAATGCAATGTACGATATGCTCCTACTAGATTTCTCATGTGTAACAACCCGTTGTTTCAAGTCAATGTAAGTCAAACTTGTTCAAATAAAGTCTAAACTACAACCATGTACAAGTAAATTCACAACATAACTCGATGTAATAAGAACTTTGAATGCCTAGAGTGCATGTTTATTTAGCTTATATGTAAGTATATGTGGAAAACCATGTTGAACTAGGCTAGTATAAGCTAAATACTTAACATAAAATCATAATATATTTTAATAAATATATAGATTTCGGTTTAGGGAATTTAATCCCTAACCAAAACCGAAATCTCATGCTTTTGGAAAATGCCAAAACCGAAAACACCCCTTCTAGAAAGCCTAGATCGAAATCACTTCTCCATTTGACTCAAAACTGAAAACAATCTTTCTTGTTGACTTTAGGACCGAAAACACCATCAAGCCCATTATATAGGACCGAAAACACAAGGTTTAGGCCCATTAGGACCGAAAACCCTCTTTATATATAAAGTTTCATTCGAAAACATGATTCATTTCTCATTTCCCAAACCGTAAACACCCTCATTTTGCTCTCAAAACTCATACAAAAATCTTCACATCTTCAAGAGTTTTCTACCCAGATCATCATAATTTCACCTAGAACACCTAGAACAGCAAGAACAATCTTCAAATCTTCAAGTTTTCCTCAAGAACACCAAGAACATCATCAAATATTCATATCTTCCACCGAAAACACCCAAGTGCACCGAAAACACCAAGAATACCCTCAAATAATTCCTAAGGCATTTTGTAAGTATTTCTTACATTATTAAGTGTTGTCTAAAAGTTTAAATTATTATTTATTATTTAAATTAATATCTTATTAATTTAAATACAATATCGTGCATAATTATTATTAGGATACGACTACTCACACAGGTCCTAACCCGAGGATCACCGCTACCACTTCGTATCCAGACGAGAACGTACATTCGAGGTGAGCTCATACCCCTACGTTTTCACTATTTTTCCATGTTTTTAGGGGGAATACAAGTACAACACAAGGAATTTTTGTGTTAACATCCAAACGATTTCAAACGTTGCAAACTATTTCAAACTGTTTCAAGCTATTCAAAATTATTTCCAACTGTTTCAACTATTGTTTTTACCAAAACATATATATATATATATATATATATATATATATATATATATATATATATATAAATGAGATTTAACAGGCTTAGGACTGGTGTTTTTTCTTTACTTCATGTTCCTTGTTTGGTTGTGGCCTTAGGGTAAATTCAATTGTCCGACTGTCTTTTTAATTTTAATTATATATGCCCTATATATATGAGTACAAATCTTTAAACCTTTGTAACATGCTGAGCAAAGGAGAATTTTAAGAAATATTTTCATTACAAACGGAATACATTTATAAACTATAATAGACATAGTTTATGGAACATACATACTACTCTACTAATTCAAGAAACGATACAAGAACATACTTATAAACTATAATAAGTATAGTTTATGGAACACTTACATCATTGTTACTAAATTCAGAGATACAATACAAACAAACATATAACCTATAATAGGTATAGTTTATGGAACATACGTATTATTTTTACTAAGTTCAGATTTCACTACAGAAACAAACATATAAACTATATTAGGTATAGTTTATGGAACATACATACAATTATTCATTACAAAGTGATTTCCATTTATTCTACATGTAACCGTCAGTATAGCTTTGTGAGACACACTTCAAGTACTTATCTAAGTACCAACCAAGCGCTGAAATTATAACCAGAGTCTCCTGGAGGGAGAGCGTGAATTTGTGTATAGATCTATACGAGACTGATAATCCCACACCTTAACTGTTACCTACAGTTAGGCTGGCAGGCCTGGGGTGACAAATGTCATAACTATTCTGACGCCTGAAGAACGTCGTTCAGGTCATCTTAGGTCATCAAGTTTGGTTATAATAACTCACAATTTGGTATTGAACAATACGACTAGTGTAAGAATACATAAACAACTTCAAGTAGTTTTATTAAATAATAGAACTACAATACAATATTTTATATTACAGCTGGTGGAAATCCATGCACATACATTTACAGAGTTTTCATACAAGGATATTACAATATACTATTTTCAGTACAGAGAAACATACATTTCAGAGACAACTTACATTTCAGAGAAACATTCATTTACTCTTAGTTTTACTTAAACAATAAGACTGCGATATACTACTACTGAGTAAAATAATCTTTACACTTTGGTCTTATGGCATTAAGACTATAATTTATTTACAACAGAAAATATAAGATTTTCTGAAAGAACATACTTACATTTTCAAAGAACAACAGACTGATTTCCAATACAAACATGCTTATGAACTCACCAACTTAAATGTTGATACACTTTCAAAATCACTTGTATTCTCAGGGAATCAGTAGACATGTACACTTACAGGGTTTTGAGAAGACGGAGCTATGCAATCACGTCTTTTAGTTTTTGCTACATACTTTTGATGTCATACAAACTATGTTATGAACAGATGTAAAAACTATACTTTATCAATGTAATTGTTATGTTTGCTTTGAACTATTATACAATTGTTGTGATACTGTACATGACGACCTCCGCCCCCGAACGTTTCCGTCATTCTGGTTTGGGGGTGTGACATCATGCCTTTTTAATTTCCAATCTTCCTTATAAGTAATAACTCCTTGAAGTCATCAAAATTTATGGGGAGACATTCATTAATTCATATCGTAGTCCTAATAGGTAGGTAATTGGGTTCATCAATGACAACGACCAACGCACTACATATATATAAATGATTTGTTTACTATAAATTAAATAAGTGGCATCCATCGACAACGACTATCACACTACATATAAACATATAGATATGAGACAAAAGCAATAAAAAAGAATGATTTTGGTACATAAAAAAACGAGATATAAGAAATATAGTAATTGATTTATTTTCCTTGTTTCTTTAATATTGAAAACGGTTAATGATTTATAATGGTAATATATTTTAGTTTTTGTACATATTTAGTCATTATTATTATTATGTTGTATGCATATGATTATTAAACTTGTTTTCCAGGTTTAAAAATACCATTATGATCGACTACTATAAGTTTAGTTTGCCGATACATAATTTTTCTCTATAACTCAAGAACACACAATCTTGAGTTTTGACAAGATTTATGGGTTTCAATCCATGACAGAAACACATTTGACAATATTTATAGGTTTAACACACATCGATTCCATAAAAAAAAACACACATACACACATCAATTTGCACATGAACACACACACACACAACGATTTGCACAAGAACAAACATGTACATCGATTCCACAATAACACACACTGTGATTTTCCAGATTTGTAACACAAGAATACACACACCCACAATGATTTGTAGGTTTTGTACCCTTGAAGCTCAATTTCTTGCACAAAGAACACACGAATTATGTTTTGGCACAAAACCAGAGCACAAATATAAAACTACAATTAAAATCATTATTTCCTTAGCATTTCAAGAGCTTGTTGGTGGATACTGAAAATGTGCTAGGGTTTCAAAGAGCATTACAACGGTTGAATTTTTTTAGGGTCGGGGTTTGCTCAACTCTTGAAATTGAAAGAAAAGAAGAGAAAGAGTTGTGAGTTTTTCTAAACTTTCGAAAACAAACCCATATTCGAGATTTAAAGGAAAAGAGAGAGAAAGAGAGAAAGAAAACCCCATATTCGAGATGAAGAACAGAGACCCAATGGAGTGAGAGAGAGAGAGAGAGAGTTTTTTGGAAAAAGACTTTTTCGGCACTTACATCTACGGGCGGGTAGATGTTTACCAAAAAGACCGTTTGTTTTCTGGAAGACAAAAGAACTCAAAAATACTTCTTTATCACTTATTGTATAAAGGCATAGAAAAATACTTTTGGTCCACATCTTCTGCCGCAGACACGGAAAAAGACTAAAGACATTTTACCACTTCCAAAACAAACACCACCGAAGTGTGTGTGTTTGTGTTTTATGATGTGTCAAGAGCTTTAAAAAAAATCAATTTTATCGGTGGAGATGACCGGAGTCTTGTTGGAGTTGTTAAGGACGTTGGTAACCGTTTATACATATAATAATCGGTCATAATAGTATTTTATGAACATGAAAACATGAAAAAGAATGACCATATATGTTTAAAAAAAAGTTACACACTTATATCTAAAAAAACATTTATTTAGCTTTTTTATTCTCGGGTATAAAGAAACATTGGAAAAAAAAATCGAATAAATAAGACAACGGAGAACCGGAAAAAGGAAATAATAAGTAAAATAAATGGTGACGTCTTTACTTTTCCCCGTTGTTCTGAAAACCTAATACAGCCACATGTCGATTTTGGCGACCCCATAGCCTCTGCTTCCTTGAGAGACGACCGCCTTCCTTGCTCCTCCGCCGTCTGTCACTGTCCGCTGCTCCTCCCGTGTTTCGATTGATGCTCGCCGCCTTCCCTCTTTCTGGTAATTTTCTCAATTCTTTCCTCTCATTCCCCTCTAGCTTCAAATTTGTTCTTCCCGCATTACGCCATTTCGAACATGTTTATGAGTTTATTACGGCCGAGCGTGCTCTATTCATCTGTGGATATGTGACTTGTGTTTTTGAATTGCTTTCATTTATTGTTTATTATGGCCGAACGTGCTTTATTCATCCATTTTCTACACACCTTGCTCTAACTCATAAGCTAAATGGCCCTTGATTGATCATAACATTAGCTCCATACCCATTTAGTAATAAGCTCAATGCTTCTTGATTGATCATAACATGGTCTTGAACCCAACTAATTTCGTGTGAATTTTGGTTCTGTTTCTTCTTGATATCATAAAAAAATTCGATCTGTATGCCTCCTTTCTTTTCGATAATGCTTTAAACATGTTTCACTAACACATGTTATGCCAAATTTAAAGTTTAAACTCCTTTCTTTGTTCACCTTGTCAGCATGTTTTTACACATTTGGACATCTTCACTTTCTTTACTCACAAATCCTGCTCAAGGTTTAATCCTCGATAATAGAAAAATAATTATAAAATATAATAATAATAATAATAATAATATAAATTGTATAAATAATTCTAATGTATTAAAAAACTTATAGAAACAAACAGAAAATCAGCATTGCACAGAAATAGGCAAATAGCAAATAGAAAAATAAGTACTAAATACCAAAAATTAAAGAAAATTAGAAAGAACTCATAAAAGTCAAAACCACAAAAGACGATGGGATGAAATAGCAAATACAAATACATCCACGGTTTAAAAGTATGGATGTATACAACAAATTAAACCTTCTTTACCCATGTTAAAATTTGCTTTTAACATGTTTGACTTTTCATGTTAATTTATGCAGTAGAAAGTAATAAAAGCAAATTTTAACCATATCATTCTGATGAACTACAAATGTTAAAAGCAAATTTAAAAAGATTGCATGAAGTTTATGTTCACCTAAGGTACTGTACTATTACAGAAACATTATGTTTTAGGCAATTTTGCAACTCAATTTAACCTTTTTATCTTATTTTTTTCATTCAACCCATAAAAGTTTCAGATTTTTTTGTTCAAATTAACCATTTTGACTGGATATAACTGGTCAAAATGGTAATTTTGGAAAATTATCGGTAAACCCTGACATAACCTGGCCTGTTTGGTTGGCAGGAATCCTTAGAATTAGAAGGAATTGGAATAAGTTCAAGAGGGATTTTTGAAGATTACTATGTATTACCCTCTTTCTTTTAAGCAGTCGGGTGAGGCTGAAACAAGCTTCAAATTTCAAATCCTCCTCCATTAATGGCGTTGTTTTATACAGTATCCAAACGCCCCATCTTTTTGAACCCAACGACTACCCTCCGCTTTTGCTCTGCCTCTTCACAGCCACCATCCGACAATGAAACTGCAGTCGCCACCGCCGTCTCCGTCCTCAAACACCATCGTTCCAAATCCCGATGGACCCACCTTCGTACGCTCTTCCCATCCGGTTTCGATCCTTCCCAATTTTCTCAAATCACCATTCAACTCCGTAACAATCCTCACTTAGCTCTCCGTTTCTTCCTCTTCTCCATCCAACACTCCCTGTGCCACCACTCCCTCTTATCGTACGCCACAATCATCCACACCCTCGCTCGTTCCCGCCAAAAATCCCATGCCCTAGCTCTGATTAAATCCGCTCTTCGTAAATTTCCTGATGCTAATACCGATTCGCCTTTAAGGACTCCACCTTTGATCTTCGAAACTTTGATTACGACTTACAGAACGTGTGATTCTGCACCTTTCGTGTTTGATTTACTGATCAAAGCATGCCTTCAATCCAAACGAATCAATCAGGCTATAGAGATTGTCCGGATGTTGCGCACTAAAGGTATATCCCCAATGATTAGCACTTGTAATTCTTTAATCATGTCAGTTTCTAAACACCACGGGAGCATTGCTGGATATGAAGTTTGCAACGAGCTTCTCGGATCCACTCGCAAATTTGGGGATCAAAAACTTGGTGTCAAAATCGTTGTTCCTAATGTACATACTTATAACATAATTATGCATTCTTTCTATAAAGATGGTTTAATTGAGAACTTAGAACAAGTGTGGAGTGATATGATTGTAAACGATTGCTTACCCAGTGCATACAGTCACAACATTTTAATGGCGGCTTATTGTGATAATGGAAGAATGGAGGAAGCCATGAGAATGTGGGAAGAAATGAGGAACAAGGGTTTAAAACATGATGCCATGGCTTATAACACCATAATCGGTGGCCTTTGTGAAGCTGGAGAGGTTGATAAAGCTGAAGAATTCTTCAAAGAAATGGGATTGGATGGGGAAGAAAGTACTTGTGTCACTTATGAGCATTTGATAACAGGGTATTGTAAAATTGGGGATGTTGATTCTGCAATGCTTTTGTATAAGGATATGTGTAGGAAAGAGTTTACACCCTTGGGATCTACCATTGATGTGTTGATTAAGGAACTTTGTGAGAAGAATAAGGTTTCAGAAGCATTGAAGGTTTCAAGATTTGCAATGAAGAGAAACAATGTGGTTATGAAGGGTGAAAGTTATGAGCTTTTGATTAAGGGTTTGTGCAATGAGGGGAGGATGGATGAAGGTATGAAGCTTCAAGCAGAAATGGTGGGAAGAGGATATGAACCAAATTCGGGAATTTATTCTGCTTTTATTAATGGATATGAGAAAGAAGGAAACAAGGAACAAGCGGCCAAATTGAAGATGGAATTTCAATCAATAAAATGAAAATTTACTATTTCTGTAATTTATATAATATATGTTTAAGTTACAAAACAAAGTAAAATTAAGCAAAAAAAAAAAAAAACAAAAAGGGCTATTCTGTCATTTTACATTATTGAAATCAAATTCATTTGACATGTCTGCTGCGAAACAAACACAAACAGAATATGGAATTGGATTCCAATTCCATTTCCTTCCAACCAAACAAGCTTTGGATTCTAATTCCAATTCCTAATAGATTCCAGTTCCTTCAAAAACATTCTGCCACCTAACAATTCAAAATGATTAATTTAGAAGAATATCTGAAACTTTTTATGGTATGATTGGAAAAATGTAAAATATTTGTGATTAAACCTCAAAACTTTACCTTTTTTTTTTTTTTTTTTTTTTTGTAATTTACCCTTTAATTAATCATCAGTTTTTTTTAATCATAGTGAATAATATTTAGGATTAGAAAGTCTTAGTATTCAATCTTATTTTTTTATCGATAATCAAGACAAATGTAACAAAATCTTGAAAATTAATCATGATTACCTTATTATTATGTAGAAGGCAAAAATTCTGCCAATAATTATAATTTAAGTTGACCTGATTATATGATTTAAGTGTGGAATGTTGTTGAATCTAGATACACTGAAATTTTATATTCCTAATTGACAATGGGCACAAGCATACAAGAACCAAAAAACCGTGCATTTGAGGCAATAGCACGAAGAGAAGCTCATGAGCTTCAATTACAACAAAATCACAAGAACAATAAACGATTTCTTGAAAGTTCTGCTGATTTGAAGTCTAAATCTGCTGCAAACACCATGTCCAAAAAAGGTTATTGAGCTAACCCATCCTGATTTACATTGTTTTGTATTTAATTTTTCTTCATGTTTGCTTTTTTCTGTTTTGATACCAATTTATTGAAAAAAGGGGTAAGCCGTTGCCGTTGATTATAGTGGCATAAACCAAGGTACCAATTTATTGTGGAAACAAGCAACTATTTACTCTAATTTAAATAAAAAAAAAATTGTTCTTTATGTGTGCAAGATTTTTAACAATGGCATTGATGAAGTCTGGATATTTACATGCCCGAATATTTTGATTACATGCATGTTAATATATCACTTGAAAGATTGATGCGTCTGTAATTATCGTAATTGCTTAACAATTACAAGTTCAAAATATCATTTTCTTGCATGTTAATAAAACACTTGAAAGGTTATTGAGATAAAAATTTGTTTATTTTAGATGAAAAAAGGGTTAGTTTCATTTTCTGTGGTAAGTCATGTTAGTTATTAGCAAAAAAGGATCATGCTATATTGGAGTCTTTGCAGTTGATAATACTTTCGGTATTTGTAGGCAAATATTCTTTCTCAGGGCAAACTACTAAACGTGGTACGTGTTTTGTTCATATTGAAAGTACAATTGCTATTTTTTTTTTATATATATATTTTGTAATTTTGTTATAGAAAGTCAAATGGCAATCATTCTTTTTGTTGCCTAGTTATACAGATGTAGAAGAAGATCATCCTATATATCTTCCACTCTCTCACCCCACAAATGGGAATCTAGCAAAGTCAGATCTTCAGGTCTTTATCTTATTTGTTTATTGTTGCATCCTACTTTTCTAGTTATTACAACATTGTACTTTGAAAAATCTAACCAAAAGCACAATGCCTTAATAAGAAAAAATATTGAAAGCATGATGTTGTAATCAAAAGAAATGAAAAGTGCTATAATTGGGGAGCTTTTTCAAAGTACATATTGTGCTAATAAGAAAAAGTAAAATAAAAGGGCAATACAATAATTCAGTAGAATTTAAAAAAAAAGAAGCTTTTCAAAGTACAATGTGCTAATAAGAAAAAAAATAAAAATAAAAAGGACAAGGTTGATATATAATAATAGAAACAAAAGGAAGTAGGATGCTGTAAATAACAAATAAACAAAAGTACACTGCTATTTCTTACATTTCATGTATTTCAATAAAGCCATCAACTTATGTAGGTAAATGTGGTGGACAAGATTTTGCATGAAGTTCTAGAGAGAGGTGATTCTGCCCAAAATTACATTCAGGGATCTAGAAGAATGAAAATTGACAACCGTGTCTATCTTGATAATATAGTAAAAATTAGCAAAATATCTGGCAACATTACACTTACAAAAGCTTTACAAAGCCACTCAAAAAGATCAAAAAAACACATGTCAATGAAACAACACAAGAAATACGGATCATTGGATTTGCCTCAAGACCTTCACAAGTGAGTTTTTCCCCTCTTTATTTTGTATCGGAATGAAAAATGAAAAAAAAAAAAGGCTTTAGCTTTAGCTTCAAGAAAGCCATCTTAGTTTTATAAATCCCAAAAAAGATACTATACTTTGAAAACGTGGACATTTGTAACAATTATACTTGTCTTTAGATTCCAAAAGGGCTACACAATGCATCTATTAGATTTTCCCGTTTTAAGGTTTAACAAGACTTTTTGAAAATTTATGGTTTTTATTTTGTTACAGCTTTGAAATGTTTAAACCAATGCATGAACTGTGGAAAGACTACATAATGCAACTTCTAAAGAGCGCTGGGTAAGAATTCTTTTTCTTTATATATATTTTTTAAATTTCTTTTCACAGGAGAAAATATAATTGAGCATATTTTTAACTCTTGAAATGGTCATATAAATTTTAGTAATTTTGTTGCGATTATAATCAGGAAAAGTCAAATGGCTCAATGTCTTTTTGGTGCAGATCTACACGGGGCACTTATTCTAGGTTAAAACTCACTGCACTCTGTATCTAAATGTTGTATATAATATTCCTTTATATTTTTGTTAAAATTTTCACTTTTTGCCGTTGCACAATGCAAAATGGCTGGTTTTACTGGAGTGAGTGGGATCATGATCCGTGAAACTGCAGAGACATTGGGAATAATCACAAAAGATAATAAATACAAAGGTAATTATCATCTCTTTTACACAAAAACACATGTACTTTCATATTTGTATCAATTTTCATCGTCTTATCACATTAGCGACTTGATTACTTTTTATAGTGGTTGAATTATTTTACTTTTTTTTTACCATTTAAGAAAACATTTTTTCGCGCAATTTCACCATTGTATTGCTTTAACCACAGGACTATTATTATAATAATAATAATAATAATAATAATAAAAGATAATGGTTCAGTGGCCAAATGGATAAATCGATGAAAATAGGGTATTTCATTCATTCTTTTTTGTTTCTTTTTTCATCATCAATATATTATATTAATATATTAATATAATGATGGTTATGTCAGTTGTATTGAAGAATATATCTGTATTTATGCTCCAAGTCGATTGCTGGAAGATTACACTCCATGGAGATAAGCTCACTTCCAGGAAAATTGGCCAATGATTTTACACCTTTTGTAAGCTTCATATGAGAATGTTAATTTCTAAAGAAAATATTTTTTGCGATATTATTTTTGTAACAGTGGAGGGAAATCGCTTTTTGAAAATGTTGATTTTTTTGGTGATTTTAATGAGTTACATGAGATTAATGAGAAATCTGCATCTTCCCTTTGTCAAAATAGTGCTTTTAATACAATCTTTTTGGGGATGGAGATCTAATTGATCTTCCAATGAGGTTAAAACGTTTTATATGCGCTAAGAGCATCCACAATGCAAGTAGTATAAGAGTTGAATATAATGATGACTATGATTGAATAAGAGTTGAATGGAGTGTGAGTGGGTATCTGGAATGAACAATGAAATAAGCTCGAAACGTATTTAAATAGTCTGAAATACAAGATTTCAAGATGTTTTATGTCACCTGTCATTAGAAAATACAACACTACGAAATTCATTAGCTTGCTCCGAAACTTGGGACATAACAAACATTTCTGCAACACATAAATATATTAGATCAATTACCTATATTTGAAAAGAAAAAAAAAGTGATCATATTATCGATTATCCCAAAAGTAATTCTGCAAATTCTATTTCACTATATAAACTACGTTTAACATTAATAATTAATAATTAATAATATATATTATAGTGGGAGTTGGTATCCTTTTTGTCAACATCGCGTAGTGGCTACTGGCTAGTGTATAAACCTCCATTTATAGGTGTTGTCGCTATTTATGACTAGATATATAAAATATCAAACACAAGAAAAACGAGGTTTTTTTGGGACTGCAAATTTAGAGTTGTGTGGTAGGAAAATCAAAATAATTTCTCTTTTTAATTGACAGTGAGATCCCGAAGGTCTGATGATCGGGCCTTGTAACAGATCAATTCGGGAACAAATCGTTAAAACATAAAAGGGCCCTAACTTTATCGTTTACTAATAATAGCCTATAAAATAAATGATCAAAAATAAAATTATATTATTATGAGTGTCGCATTTTAAGCTAAGTTTATTCTAACACAAAAATCCATGTAATAAATACTTTCTAAATTTTTTTGAACACTGCCCAAAATAAAATGACCAAAATATATTTTACGCTCACCGTTGACCATATATGGCACCAGACTTTTCTTACGGATCATAATTCATAAGTATTTTTTAAGGACGAATAGTTTAACTAATCATTTTATAAGAAAAAAAACATTATTTTCATAATCGATTCATTAAATTTGTATGTATTTGATCATGCAAACCCTCGTGGCCTCTTGTATAATTTAAGCATTACTAACTATTTTAATTTTTATTTGACTTTGACTCTCTTTATAATATTAGCATGTGATTATGTATTATTAACAATATAACATATTAAAGGACAAAAAAGTAATCATTACAAATGTGAAGTTGTACATTTTATAACCAACATTTGATGCATTTGCAAAAGATCATTCCCTTACATGTAGAACAATACTATATTTATGAGGTGTTTAAATCTAACTTAGATGATGGTAGGGATAAACATATGTTATAATGTTAAGTATTTAGAATACATGAGAGAGTACCTCATGAAAAGGTTGTGTATTGTACAAAAAGTTATATACAAATGTCATGGTCCTTTCACTCCTACTTCTATTGCACTTTTTGAGGGGATAAAATCAAAAGCATATCGATATAAAGTCGTTTACAATGGGTTAGGAAAATACCAAGTGACAAGTCCAATGCTAGACCGATTTGTTGTTAAGTTAAATGAGATAACATGCATTTGTAGGACTTGGGAGATTATAGAATTTACATGTAAATATATTGTTTGTGCTATTTGGAATAAAATTTAAAATAGGGATAATGTTCCAAAGTGGGTGCATCCCTCTTATACGAGGTCAACATGGGCTACCATATAATTTAACATAATTACACAATCAATGGTTGTACCATGTGGCCAAAGAGTGATTGTGCATTCATTTTGATTCCTCCTAAACATAACTAACATGTTTGTATCTCAACTATCATTGCAGTGTTTTATTTTATTTACTAACCAAAATGTAAATGTGTAGGTAGGGAGGCCAAAAAAGAAGAGGAAGATGGTTATAGATGGGTGCTGATGAAACTAGGAAGCAAGAAAATTGAGCGGGAAATATTTGACAATGACTTTTGCAAAGTGTCATAACAAAGGACATAACTTCAGGACTTGTAAAGGGCAGTCTTCACAAACTGGAGTAAAGGAGAAGAAGAAAGCTAACACCAAAGATGCTTCAAGTTCTGCATAGTGACATGTTGAATTACTTTTTAAGTATTTAATTTAAGAAATATAATATGAATTGTTTCTTTTGAAGTGACTTGAATGTTACATGTTTCTATTTATTTAAATATATTGGTATGTTTGGCTAGTAGACTCAAACAATGGATTAGTTATGAAATGGTCCAAAACAGTTGATGGTTTTTGTAATGGATTTGTTTCCTATTTGTATCAAGTGATATGATATGCTTTATGTAATTGTTTGTCCAAACTTAAATGGTTTGTCAAACATTTTCTAGCAATGAACTTGATTGCTCAATACTAAAATAAAATATTTCTCCAACATTTTCTAGCAATGAACTTTTGTTTGTAGTCAATGAAATTGTTTGTTCAATAATTTTGACATTGAAATTTTGTTTGTCAACATTTTCTAGCAATACATTTCTGTCCAGAATAGTCCAAATAGCTTTTCCATTAAGGTCATTTCATACATACAGTGACCAAAAACCATACAAGCATGCCAAAAATCATTGCATACATACCAAATAGCTTTTCCATTAAGATCACACATATAGAAATACCAAAAACCATCGCAGAATTACCAAAAGCCATTCCCCTCCAAAAACCATTGCAGTTAAAACTTAAAAGTCATCACACACAAACTACTTTAATACTTATAGAAATACCACAAAAAAAAAAATAAATAAATAAAAAAAATTAACATCAACTTCAGCTTCCACACTTTTGCATGAACAAGGTTCAAGGTTGTTTCAATTATGTCCTAGCTCTGAGCTATGGAATCACCACTACTTCCCTAGGGCACATCGAAAGGTCTATCCACCTAATAAATCGATATTTGTTACTAAATCGAATGCAACTCCATAGCATTCCAGGGTTAAGATCCGTCCATGATGTAATCTTCATTCTTCACTGTCGGATTTCTACACGTGCACGTTACCTGCTTATAAGGATAACTATATGTCACATATGTGAACGTTACTTGCTTATAAGGAGAGAGACAAATATAAAAAAAACGGTATAGTTCTCACATGATGTGCACTCTCATTTAACGGACCAAATCAAACGATGATAGCCATAAAAACTAACGTTACAACTCTCATAAATAACTGAGGCCATCAATATAACGAAAAAAATTATAGACTAAATATGAAAATTTAAAAACCCAATGAACCATTTATGTAATTTTGTCGCACATATCTTGGTCGGAATAATCATTCTGACAATAGCTTAAAAAGTTTAGTCAGTTACCTAATACTCTAAAGAAAACATGCGGTCGTTCTCGTGACTAAAAGTTAAAAATTAAAATGATAGTTGATCGATTTTATAGGGCTTATTTTCTCATATTATAAAAATAAGTTTTTTTTTTTTTTTGGTAAAAATGTTTCTTCGTCGATCTGAGAAACTTGTTACCCCCAAATCAAACATATACTTAGAGTTGGAATCAAGAATGTGAAAATTATAAACGTGAACGGTGATATAATCATCGTGGCATCATCAAAATCCACTTTATTCCTGTATATATAAACTCAAAACCCATTTCTACTGACTACTGTACACCCAGCTTCTTCTTTATTTTCTTCCCCGCAACTCCACTCTGAAGAATCTCTAAGTGCGATGGCACTTGTTAAAGAAATCATGGGTCGTTCCATGATTGAGAAACCCCCATTTCTTCCTTCAAACACTCTTAAAAAGATCCATCATAACCATAATCTATTGTCAGTGAACCCAGTTTCTGTCCCAAGGAGGATCCCGGTAGTGAAGGCTGCGATCAGTGAGGATTTGGCCAAATTTGTGAAAGCAGAGAAGCCGGTTACGTTCAAGGCGAGAGCTGTATTAACTGTTCGGAACAAACACCAGGAAGATTTCAAAGAGACAATTGTAAAGAAAATCGACGCTTTTACCGATCAGATCGGAAGAAATGTTGTCCTGGAGCTTTACAGCACTGATATTGACCCAAGTAGGCAACATGTTTGTTCAAATGCGTCAATAGATTCTTTTTTTGATTGGATGTTCTTTTATTCTTGTTGAATTGAATTTGGTATTGATTTTTGTCCCTTTTTATGATATGAAGAAACAAGGGCTCCAAAGAAAAGCAAAGAAGCTGTATTGAAAGATTGGTCACAGAAATCAAATCTCAAATCTGAAAAAGTTAATTACACATCTGATTTATTGGTGGATTCTGATTTCGGAATCCCGGGAGCAATTACCATCACTAATAAGCATCAAAAAGAGTTTTACTTGGAGAGTATCACCATTGAAGGATTTGCATGTGGCCCTGTTTATTTTCCTTGCAATTCTTGGGTTCAATCCACCAATGATCATCCTAATCCCAGAGTTTTCTTCTCTAATCAGGTAATTAATTATCTTTCTTAGTAATATTCCATATTGGTAAAAACTCAAAAAGGTCTAAACTTTGAAAGTCAAATCTTGATATATCAACTATCAAGCTTACATCTTTATGAATATTATTGTACACTTGAGCAGCCATATCTTCCCGATGAAACTCCAGCCGGGCTAAAACTATTAAGAGAGAAAGAGCTTCGAGATTTAAGGGGTGATGGAAAAGGAGTCAGAAAGTTATCAGACCGGGTTTATGACTATGATGTTTACAACGATCTTGGAAATCCGGACCGGGGAAACGACTTTATCAGGCCGTTACTCGGCGGCGAAAAGATCCCATATCCACGGCGGTGTCGCACCGGCCGATTACCTACCGACACCGGTGTGTATGTAATAACTCATTAACATTTAAAAATCGTATATATGCTGATGATTTATATGTTTTAACAGATATTTTAGCTGAGAGTCGAGTGGAAAAGCCGTTTCCGTTGTACGTTCCAAGAGACGAACAATTTGAAGAATCAAAGCAAAACGCATTCTCGACAGGGCGGCTGAAGGCGGTGCTCCACAACCTGTTGCCATCAATGGTGGCCAGCATTTCAAAAAAACACGACTTCAAGGGTTTCTCACAGATCGAGAGTCTTTACAGTGAAGGACTCCCTCTGAAACTAGGTCTTCAAGATGATCTCTTGAAGAAGCTCCGGTTGCCTAATTTAGTCACCAGACTCCATGAATCTAGCCAGGGCGGCGGCCTTCTCAAATACGACACCCCAAAAATTCTTTCCAGTAACCACTCTACGTCCTTTCCTTATATAAATAATATCAAAAAACCAGATGGATGTTTATAATTATTCTTTTAATTTACAGAGGACAAGTTTTCATGGTTACGTGATTATGAGTTTGGCCGGCAAGCACTCGCCGGGGTCAACCCGGTTAACATAGAGAAGTTAAAAGTTTTCCCACCAGTGAGTCAACTCGACCCGGAAATCTACGGTCAACAAGAGTCCGCTCTCAAAGAAGAACACATTTCGGGCTATCTTAATGGGATGTCCGTACAACAGGCTATGGAGGAAAATAAGCTATTCATAATAGATTACCATGACACATATTTACCATTTCTTGACCATATAAACTCGCTAGATGGGCGTAAAGCATACGCGACTCGCACCATATTTTACTTGACCCAATCGGGCACATTAAAGCCTGTGGGAATCGAGCTCAGCTTGCCACGGGCTTTACCCGGTTCGCGGTCAAAACAGGTCGTCACACCACCCGTAGATGCCACAAGCAACTGGACATGGCAGCTCGCGAAAGCCCATGTTTGCTCTAACGATGCTGGGGTCCACCAGCTTGCCAACCACTGGTAAGCGGGCCCAAACCCGATTCCTTGTATTTCTAGACTCGTGTGGATTTACTAAATTGTCCTTGTTGTGTTAGGCTACGGACACATGCGGCCATGGAACCGTTTATATTGTCAGCACATAGACAATTGAGTGCTATGCACCCGATATTTAAGCTTTTGGACCCGCATATGAGATACACGCTTGAGATCAACGCCTTGGCCCGCCAGAATTTGATCAATGCGGATGGTGTCATAGAGCAGTGTTTTACCCCGGGCCGCTATTGTATGGAAATAAGTGCTGCGGCGTATAAGCATTGGCGCTTCGATCTAGAAGACCTCCCGTCTGATCTCATTAGAAGGTAACCTCTTACCCGTTTACCTGTTCTCTGTTATCTGTTATCTATTTAAAACCCTGTCCAATAACTTTTGGACTAACTTAATGTTTTGTCTTATTAGGGGTATGGCGGTTTCGGATCCAAGTCAACGACACGGGCTGAAGCTTTTAATCGAAGACTACCCGTATGCTAATGACGGGCTTTTGATATGGGAAGCAATACAAAAATGGGTACATACTTACGTAACACGATACTACTCGGACCCGTCACTTGTCTGCAACGACAGAGAGCTACAAGCGTGGTACGCAGAGTCAATCAACGTGGGCCACGCGGACCTCCGCCACGAAAACTGGTGGCCGGAGTTGGCCACCGGAGATGACCTGACCGCCATCTTGACCACCATCATCTGGCTAGCTTCCGCCCAACACGCGGCACTTAACTTCGGGCAGTATCCTTACGGTGGCTACGTACCGAATCGGCCGCCATTAATGAGGCGTTTGATTCCAGACGAACATGACCCTGCGTACATGAGCTTTTTAGATGATCCGCAAAAATTTTTCCTATCGGCTTTACCGAGTATGTTACAGTCAACAAAGTACATGGCTGTGGTGGATACATTGTCGACTCATTCGCCTGATGAGGAGTATATTGGTGAGAGACAACAGAGGTATACTTGGACTGGAGATGAGGAGATGGTGGAAGCTTTTGACGGGTTTTCAACCGAGATTCAAAGGATTGAGAAGGAGATTGAGAGAAGAAACCGGGACACATGTTTGAAAAACCGGTGTGGTGCGGGGGTTTTGCCATATGAGCTTCTGGCACCGGGCTCCCAGCCCGGTGTGACTTGCCGTGGGGTTCCAAACAGTGTGTCTATATGAAAAAAATAGTAGACTGTGTTAGTTATATGGTTTAGAGGTACAAAAAGTATGTAAGTGAGCCCTTCGTATAAAAAATGTAGGATTTAGTTTTTTGTCACGTTAAGTTTCATTTCAAGTAAACAAAAGCCGGATGTGGGTTTTAACTTTTAAGGCCTACATACTGGATAATTGGATCGACTGAGTCAAACTCGAGGTCGGGTGGTTCGTTAGTATAGGTTTTGGTTGGTATGTGTTTTGTCGATACTCTATACCTATAAGTGGGATTAGATATTTGAGCAGTGATATAAACGTGAGTGATGTTGTTTTGGAGGACAGCTTTTGCTTTAATAATTAAACGTACGAATTCTCAACGAAATGAGTATGAATGTGACTTTTCTTTGGTAGATATTTGTTGGGCCTAGTGTCCACATGTGTTATTGTGGTGATTATAATCAAATTATTAGTGGTTGTTTCTTTATTTCGATATAATGTAAAAAAAACGTGTTAGTCTTAAGAAAATTCAACATAACAAATCAGAGTTGGTCATGGGCTGGTTAGCAGGTTGAAATAGAGGTGTGGGTCGAAACCGGGAGCCCGATTTCGGCCTAAAACCAGTTCAACGAAGGACCAGTTATGGGGGTGCTCTTCGTCTTTCTTGGTTGATGATCGATTCACTATTTTACCCATGACATGATGACGGTGTATCATGTATATATACATCATTCTTCCTTGGCCCAATTAGTTCATTTGTCGGTTTTCCCACCATTACCAACCAACGTGTATGCTCGCGACAGAAGTGACTTTCCTTCCAAACTTAACCGAATTAACTAATTTTTTTTTATATGTGTAGTTTTTCACTTTTGCATAACACATTTTTTTTTCATTATACGATTTTATTCAATTCTTGTCTCTGGAAAATGTAAAAACAAAACATGTATTTTGTGTTTTGTATCTCATATATTGCGTGAAAATCGTGATAGTAAATTTCTCTGTGAAACTGCATTTATAGGATTGAACTTATAGATTTAGAAAAGTATTTATAATTCTATAATCCAAGTTAAATATAATATTGTAACCCTATTTTCTAACTCAAGATATCATTGCATATATTGGTGAATGAATAAGACCACACTATTACATAAATTTGTAGAAAAATTAAAGTGTTGTTATATAAATTAATAAAAAAGTTATATTTTTACGTCAGGCCCAAAAAATAGATTATAAAGTTTATGACGCTACGTGGATATTGAAGTCGACATAACCGATTAAACTTAAATTTGGTATTCCTATTGCAAAACAAAAAATATAATTGAGACATTATAATATAAAAAATGATCGTTTTTTTTTTAATTTATCATTTCCAAAAATAGTCTCCTTTTCCAAATCATCCACCAACCATGATATCATTATATAAATAATATTCATGAAATGAAATATGATTTCATTGGCAAGTTCTATCTATTGGTTTTTGTTCTTTGTTATAATGTCACCGTCGCTGTCTGGAAACCTCAACGGTGTATAATGAACGAGTAAAGTCAGCATAACCACGTGTCACAAATAACCCATTCACAGCCGTCACAACTCATACAACCTTCGTCAAACACAACTCCAAGTTCGAGTTGATTGCCGTTGTCTCACACGTGTCACTGTCCAGCTACCCACCACTAGCCACGTGCTTCTACTCCTCCCGCGTTACTTAAATCGGTGCTCAGCTTTCATCGGGCTGACTCAACCGTTGATATTAGTACTCTTTTGCCATCTGTCAAACGAATGGCTAAGACCATGTCCATGTAGAAACAAGAGCCTAGAGAGTAGCAGCTTTAAATTAAAATTTACTGCTCGGATTGTCCTGTTCACAGAATATATCCCACCAACTTAAAACTAAAAATAAATATAAAAACCCAGAAGCTTCCTCCTCAGTCCTGATCCATCACCCAAATGGCCTCCATTCTTATACCGATAATGCCCCTGTGAGAAGAAAATACATAGAAGACTTTGACCAATGCCTACCAAATATTAAAATATTATTATAAACACCAATAAAATCATATTTTTATTTCAATTAACTCTTAAAATATAATTTAAAGTTTTGAAAATTAAGGATGTCATATTTATATTATAAAACATTAATAAAAACGCTATTAAGTACATCAAGAAAATTAGTAGTTAATATATTTGATATTTAGAGGGTGTTTGACAAAACTTATTTAAAAAGACTTATGACTTTTTGACTTATAACTTATTTTGGTGAAATAAAGAGTTTGTAATAAGTAAGGTGCAGGTTACTTATCATTTTTTGACTTATTAGAGGTTTCCAACAACTATAAGTTGTTTTTTACCCAAACATTTTTTTGACTTATACCAGTATCAATCCGGTAATAAGTCAAAAAGCTTTTCTTTAAGCTTTGCCAAACACCCCCTTAATATGTTTGATTCGTAATACCATATCATTTAAATAATCTTGATGATACAGCAATAATGTTATTAATATCAACCAACCAATTCATTTTCATATATATATATATATATATATATATATATATATATATATATATATATATATATATATATATATGAAAATGAATTGGTTGGTTGATATTAATAACATTATTGCTGTATCATCAAGATTATTTAAATGATATGGTATTACGAATCAAAAAGGGGTGTTTGGCAAAGCTTAAAGAAAAGCTATATATATTATATATATATATATATATATATATATATATATCTAATATATATATATATATATATATATAGGAAAGGGTTATATGGAAAAAAAAATCACAAAAATACATTAAAAAAATACTTAGAGATCACAAATCTTTTTTTTGACTTTATATTAAAAAATATCGCAGCTTTTTTTACAAATTTGCTAATTTTTTTTTTGAAAAATGTAATATTGAGATTCAGCTTCAGCCATATATTTCTTATTTGTCGTTCTAACTCTCCAGCGTACCAGCAACATCGGGGTATTCTAAATCATAAATGATTATATAGAGAAGAGGTATAATCATATATGATTATATATGTTTATATATCTATATCTATATATATCTATATCTATATATATATATATATATATATATATATATAATATAAATGATTATATATATATATATATATATGTCTGTCCAGAAAGTGTTTAATCATATATGATTATGCTGGTTGGTTGGGGTAGGGGTGGCAGAGGTGGCAGAGGTGGCGATGGTATAGTTGAAAATATATGTGGAGCCCCATATTAACTCTCCAAAAGAACCCTTGTGGAGAGAAGGGGACTCCAACATATATAACGACTTATATTACCGTGTTGCACCGATGTGGGATACACTAACATCCCCCCCCCCCCCCCCCCCGAATCGGATGCTTGATGAAGATAGACAGGGATGTATTGAACCACGGGGGGTGTGAGATGCAGGCTCTGATACCATGAAATATATGTGGAGCCTCATATTAACTCTCCAAAAGAGCCCTTGTTGAGAGAAGAGGACTCCAACATAAATAGTGACTTATATTACCGTGTTGCACCGATGTGGGATACACTAACAATAGTTGACGAAGGTTACAATAGTATTGTCGGTTGGTGGCGGGGTGGTGGTGGCGGCGGTAGCGCTTGTGGTGGTGGGGAACGCGTTGGAAGAAAAATGAACGGGTGGCACTGCATAATCATATACGATTATAAACTCTCCCGACGTACCGGTACGCCAAAGGGTTAGAGCGGCAAATGAGAAATATGTGGTTGAGGTTGAATCTCAAGATCTTCATTTTTTATAATCTCAATGGAACCTACATCTCTTTCTCTCTCTCTCTCTCTCTCTCGATATATATATATATATATATATATATATATATATATATATATAATAGGCTTAGGTTATTCTATTCAAAGTAATTATTGTGTTATTGTATGCATAAATGTGGGACAATCATTTTACTTATTTTAAGAAAGTGATTAATACATATTATTGAATTAAATATAACTGAAAAATACCATCCAATTTAACTAGAAGGGTATTTTAGTCAATTAATATAGATTTAATAAAGGAAATTTGCATATTTTAAGGGATCATAGATTCTATTAATTTTAAAAATCCGATTTTTACTAATTATAAGGTTTTTAATTCGGACATTCTGATAGAATATGTTTGAGTATGTTCAAAAATAAAAATATTCTAGAACAATAAAATAATAAAAATATTCTTGAACATATTTCTTGATCACGACTTTAAAAATTTGTTGTAGAATAACAAATTCTCGAACCAGCAATTGAAGAATTAAAACAAAAATTACATTAATTCTTATAGAATACATGTAACAATTGTTAAGAATTACATTTATTGTTAAAGAATAAAACTAAAAAACTTTCAAATCGGGAAAAAAACATCAAAATCTAACAAATACACTAATTTATTCTAAAAGAATAATGTTACTAAGAAACACTTTTAATTTTGTTGTCCGTTCTTCAAGCATCAACTTCTTCAAGCATCAACTTCTGTGAAAACAAATCCAATTGTAGTTTAGAATCCAATAACGCATTAGCAAATGATAAATAAAAAACTATATTCCTTTGGAAAAATATGCGCACTTGTTAACTGCACCAAAACCAATAACCAAAAATTGTAGAACATGTATAATCAATGAGAAAATATCCATATTCCATTCCAACATAATTAGAATTCGTGTTTCCATTCCGATAGAATTTGAATTCGTGATTCTATTCCGATAGAATTGGAATGGTATAAAATACACAAATCGATTTAATGCTTGCAAAGTAAGGGACAATATCTTTCAGAAACTCGATAACAATTATAGATCTTTCAAGAAGACAATAAAGGCAAAAGGTATTCTCATATAGGAAATGATAGAATAACACAAACACATTAAATACTGACAATAGTTAAAGGGGTACCTCACTGGGAAAGTATGTTCTGTGATTGTACGTATCCTGTTGATCCTTAACAGCAACTGGCATGATAGGCAAAAGAAACAAATTGAATATTGATGAAAGATCTAGAGGCTTTGAGTTAGTATAACTTGATCCCTCTTACAAGATTATCTGAAAACAATAAGAACTTATTCAGTACAGAAAGATTAAAGTTAACAGTTAACAGAATATGTGTTATGAAAACATACACATGAACATAGAGGTTTTAGGCATATAAACTACTGGTAACCATATAACCCACTATAAAAGAAATGAAAGAGATCACTCAGAACTTTTAAAAGTACTTGTGAACAACATCACAAGTTAATTACAGGTCTTCTTCCTTCTTTTTTTGGGTTATCCAAACCAATTCTTCCAACATTCGTACGAACCGCTTCATATTGTTGACATTCGACTAAAATTCTGAAATTCAGATACAAAACTAATT